CGGGCCAAAAAAAAAAAAAAACATGAACTTGGATCGAACCACGACCCTTGCGGTTTGGTCCAACGGACCGGCCCATATGTGGCCAATTACGGGCCGATTCGGCCCGCGACCATGTCTAGCTTGAACCAAACACAAAAAAATAAAGTTAGCTATTTGTCACACCAACCAACATCCTTAGTATAAACTTTTAAGGATTTAGGTGTCAGCTGATATCTTTACCCTAGTTTGTCCAGTGGGCAATCGGCGCAAACTTTCATTCCTTCAAACCTTCATGAAAATATTCATTCCTTCAAACCTTCATTCCGTCCAAGCTGCAGAACCCCAGTAAATCTCTTTACTTCTTGTGCAATATTACCATATTGTGGGCAATCGGTTTCTTTACATATTTATTTCTTTCCATATTTATTACCATATTGTGGGCAATCGGTTTCTTTGCATATTTATTTCTTTCCATATTTATTATCATAGTGTGGGCAATTTCATTCCTTGAAGATTTTGATATTTCTATCTCTCCCCCTCGTGCCGCATATCCGCCCAAGCTCCGGGAGCTCCTTATGCAGATGTGACTTCCGGCCTTCACGGTGTCCGCCAACTCCACAACTGTACCGCAGCCGGAGACCGCCACGTGGCCAGACTCTTCCCGCCCACCTTACTGCTGACTTCCAGATCTCCCACCCCGGCCCTTGAGAGATTTTGATACTATGGGCTTAATCCAAAAATTACTCAGGTTCGAAACTTTTAGGCGGGAAGTCTTCACCTCTTTCCACGCAGAGTGGCGTGAGGAGCTCTCTTGTAAATTTGCTATTAATGGGATAAGTCTTTTACCGAATGATTCCACCTTAGGGGAAGTAATTGTTCTTATGCCGGCAAAGGAAGTCCAGAATTTTTCCATGATGTTCAAGGCTATGGATCTCTACCTTGTAGCATTTAAGTTCCTCGAGCAAAGTGGAATCGGCTCCGTGTGGGACACGATGACAGATTGCGAAGGACGTGGATGATGTCAAGTTCTACGGCAATTACCAATCTATGTTATCGATGGCGGGGTATGGTACCATAGCTGACATAATTGTAAACAAATCAAGCCTCGAAAATGCCATCCACACACTGGGGAAAAGAGACCACGTCCAACCGAAAATAATTGCTAGGGCAATCTTGCAGCTAATCATTTTCTTTTGTGAGAGCGCGCGGTTCGATCAAGTTGAAGCGCATTGTTCCTACTTTCTAGAACCTACAAAAGAACGAAGTCACGTCTCAATCTCCAATCTACCTAGGTTGTTGACTCATTGGAAGAAACTCTCAATCATAGCTGCGACAAGGTTGCAAAATAGTTGTAGACTTGCCTTGTTGGAGAGCTATGGCTTGACCACAAGAGAAAACGAGCTGATTACAACTTTGGGGGACGCGAGGAAGGAGGTAAAGCTCCTGCATGGGACCTCGCCCCTCGACGCACATGAACTGGAGAGCAAGTATGCGGTTCGTGGATTTGAAGAGAGAGTCTGCTGCTGTCAAGAAGTCCACCTACTGGAGGGACTTTAAGGTTGCAAAATGATAACCCCTCTATTATTTTTAGATGTCATTTTGATTTTACCATGCACTAGTTAGCATTAACATTATAGTTACTTAGTTTTAGGGGCGGAGCTAGAATTAAAATCTTCCCGGGCTAAAATTAATTATCTTGACAAAAAAAAAAAAAAANACTTTCAGAAATGACGAAAAAAAATTAAGAAATGCATAATGGAACGAAAAAAATCAAGCTTTTCAATGATCAGTGTATCAAAATTAGGTATTTTCAAGCAAGATTCTATAATCAAACATGTTATCAAACAAGGCTGATTTTGTGTGAATTATGCCATAAAAGGGCCCCTTATAGGCACTAGTTTGTCAAACTCTTTATTTTCCTAAATTCAGTACAACAGGCTCGATTATGTTTTCTCTGTTCTTCTTCCTTGATTCATTCTATTGCAACTTGTTTAAATCGTAAAATGTTTACTACAGGTTTGCGTAATATATAGAAAAGACTGGAATAGACACGACCAAAATAGACACGACCGGATACGTTGTGTTCATGGTCGAAATTGAAGCGGAGAGGGATTTACTCGTACCTTATGGCACCATTCTTGTCATGTGTCTTAGTAGTCAGTCAATCCTTGTTGACAGAAAAAATAAAGATGACGCAAGTATTGCTTGTATTGCCAAGGTTAGGATGGCTTCGTTGGAATAAAAGAAACTCTATCGCTGCTTGAAATTATTAACAACTCTGAACTAACATGTTCTCTTTTTCTTTCTATAGGCGAGATCTGAAGTTGGATTCCACAAGAGAAAAAAAAATTAATTATCTTGACAAAAAAAAAAAAAAAAAAAAAACTTCCAGAAATGACGAAAAAAAAATTAAGAAATGCATAATGGAACGAAAAAAAATCAAGCTTTTCAATGATCAGTGTATCAAAATTAGGTATTTTCAAGCAAGATTCAATAATCAAACGTGCTATCAAACAAGCCTGATTTTGTGTAAATTATGCCATGAAAGGGCCCCTTATAGTCACTAGTTTGATAAACTCTTTATTTTCCTAAATTCAGTACAACAGGCTCGATTATGTTTTCTCTGTTCTTCTTCCTTGATTCATTCTATTGCAACTTGTTTAAATCATAAAATGTTTACTGCAGGTTTGTGTAATATATAGAAAAGACAGGAATAGACACGACCAAAATAGACACGACCGGATACGTTGTGTTCATGGTCGAAATTGAAGCGGAGAGGGATTTACTCGTACCTTATGGCACCATTCTTGTCATGTGTCTTAGTAGTCAGTCAATCCTTGTTGACAGAAAAAATAAAGATGACCCAAGTATTGTTTGTATTGCCAAGGTTAGGTCGGCTTCATTGGAATAAAAGAAACTCTATAGCTGCTTGAAATTATTAACAACTCTGAACTAACATGTATCGATGGACTCGCAAATTCCGACAATGGAGGTCTTGACGAAGACGTGCCGGTGCTAATATTTCTACGTTTCTGTCCGGAATTCGAACCACGACCACCACGAGAGCTCGATATTTTTTAATTTAAAGAATAAAAAAATAAATTGGGGAAAAAAAATAAGTGGGGAGATGTGGTATTTTNATATCCGATCCAACGGCCAGATTTTTTTTTTTATTTAGACAGTTGGGCCCGTGGACTGGCCCGAACTGTAGCCCAACCGGGCCCAACGGATATATTGCAGTATGGGCAGGCCTGATTCTCTGACGCCGGGTCGGTCCGGTCCTACCCGGCCCGACCTGGTGAATTTAATATTGAAAAAAAATAAAAAATAAGAAAATCATTGCCGGCGGTCGGCCCGCGACCCGACCCGTCCCGGATCGGACCGCCGGGACCAAAAAAAAAAACATGAACTTGGATCGAACCACGACACTTGCGGTTCGATCCAACGGACCGGCCCATATGTGGCCGATTACGGGCCGGTTCGGCCCGCGACCATGTCTAGTTTGAACCAAACACAAAAAAATAAAGTTAGCTATTTGTCACACCAACCAACATGCTTAGTATAAACTTTTAAGGATTTAGGTGTCAGCTAATATCTTTACCCTAGTTTGTCCAGTGGGCAATCGGCGCAAACTTTCATTCCTTCAAACCTTCATTCCACCCAAGCTGCAGAACCCCAGTAAATCTCTTTACTTCTTATGCAATATTACCATATTGTGGGCAATCGGTTTCTTTACATATTTATTTCTTTCCATATTTATTACCATATTGTGGGCAATCGGTTTCTTTGCATATTTATTTCTTTCCATATTTATTATTGAATTGTGGGCAATTTCATTCCTTGAAGATTTTGATATTTCTATCTCTCCCCCTCGCGCCGCATATCCGCCCAAGCTCCAGGAGCTCCTTATGCAGGTGTGACTTCCGGCCTTCACGGTGTCCGCCAACTCCACAACTGTACCGCGGCCGGAGACCGCCACGTGGCCAGAATCTTCCTGCTCACCTTACTGCTGACTTCCAGATCTCCCACCCCGGCCCTTGAGAGATTTTCATACTATGTGCTTAATCCGAAAATTACTCAGGTTCGAAACTTTTAGGCGGAAAGTCTTCACCTCTTTCCACGCGGAGTAGCGTGAGGAGCTCTCCAGTAAATTTGCTATTAATGGGATAAGTCTTTTACCGAATGATTCCACCTTAGGGGAAGTAGTTGTTCTTATGCCAGCAAAGGAAGTCCAAAATTTTTCCATGATGTTCAAGGCTATGGATCTCTACCTTGTAGCATTTATGTTCCTCGAAGGAGCAAAGTGGAATCGGCTCCGTGTGGGACACGATGACAGATTGCGAAGGACGTGGATGATGTCAAGTTCTACGGCAATTACCAATCTATGTTATCGATGGCGGGGTATGGTACCATAGCTGACATAATTGTCAACAAATTGAGCCTCGAAAATGCCATCCACACACTGGGGAAAAAAGACCACGTCCAACCGAAAATAATTGCTAGGGCAATCTTGCAGCTAATCCTTTTCTTTTGTGAGAGCGCGCGGTTCGATCAAGTTGAAGCGCATTGTTCCTACTTTCTAGAACCTACAAAAGAACGAAGTCACGTCTCAATCTCCAACCTACCTATGTTGTTGACTCATTGGAAGAAACTCTCAATCATAGCTGCGAAAAGGTTGCAAAATAGTTGTAGACTTGCCTTGTTGGAGAGCTATGGCTTGACCACAAGAGAAAACGAGCTGATTACAACTTTGGGGGACGCGAGGAAGGAGGTAAAGCTCCTGCATGGGACCTCGCCCCTCGACGCACATGAACTGGAGAGCAAGTATGCGGTTCGTGGATTTGAAGAGAGAGTCTGCTGCTGTCAAGAAGTCCACCTACTGGAGGGACTTTAAGGTTGCAAAATGATACCCCCTCTATTATTTTTAGATGTCATTTTGATTTTACCATGCACTAGTTAGCATTCACATTATAGTTACTTAGTTTTAGGGGCGGAGCTAGAATTAAAATCTTCCCGGGCTAAAATTAATTATCTTGACAAAAAAAAAAAAAAAAAACTTCCAGAAATGACGAAAAAAAAATTAAGAAATGCATAATGGAACGATAAAAAATCAAGCTTTTCAATGATCAGTGTATCAAAATTAGGTATTTTCAAGCAAGATTCAATAATCAAACATGCTATCAAACAAGCCTGATTTTGTGTGAATTATGCCATGAAAGGGCTCCTTATAGGCACTAGTTTGTCAAACTCTTTATTTTCCTAAATTCAGTACAACAGGCTCGATTATGTTTTCTCTGTTCTTCTTCCTTGATTCATTCTATTGAAACTTGTTTAAATCATAAAATGTTTACTACAGGTTTGCGTAATATATAGAAAAGACTGGAATAGACACGACCAAAATAGACACGACCGGATACGTTGTGTTCATGGTCGAAATTGAAGCGGAGAGGGATTTACTCGTACCTTATGGCACCATTCTTGTCCTGTGTCTTAGTAGTCAGTCAATCGTTGTTGACAGAAAAAATAAAGATGACGCAAGTATTGCTTGTATTGCCAAGGTTAGGATGGCTTCGTCGGAATAAAAGAAACTCTATTGCTGCTTGAAATTATTAACAACTCTGAACTAACATGTTCTCTTTTTCTTTCTATAGGCGAGATCTGAAGTTCGATTCCACAGTGCTGCGGTCTAAATTCAAATTGGTCCTCAAGATGACGTCAAGGGTTACATTAACCTGGTCACCATGAAAGCTAACTACTTTCATGGTTCCAGTAGGTCTGTATGGCTAATGATTATTGACCTGGTCACCATGAAAGCTAACTACTTTATTTTTACATTGGTTGTATTTTTTTTATTTTTATTTTCTTATTATTATTATTTTTTTTTTTGGTAGTGTAACTGACATTCAAGCTGATCTAAAAAAATTAGCTGAACAATAGCGTCAGGTCTTAATTGAAGCTGTGTCCGATGTGGATGACAAGCTTGCTGAAGCATCCCGTACATAGGAACCTATATCAGCTGCCGAACTTGAGGTATGGAATTGTCATCTATCCAAGCAAAGCTAAAAAACATTTACATTACGTGATTATCTTTTTATCTAACTCAAATTAGATTTAATAGTTACACCTTAAACCTTTGTTTATCTCTTTGATTCATAGGAAGCTATCCATTGAGCTGTTGTAGCTCTGAAGTTTGTGCCCATGTTCGTGGGTAGTGCATTAAAGAATAAGAGTGAAAAAACGGTATTCATTTTAAACTTCTGTTATGGCGTTGTATGTATATCTTCAGACTACCAATGAACCAACTATATCCTATACTTAACTGCTTCACTGCAGGTTGTATTAAGTGGAAGTCAAGCTGGTCCGCTTGTTGCTTTAGCTTTCAAGTTAGAAGAAGGGAGATTTGGGCAGTTAACATATTTGAGGTACTTTGAACTTAATTCGATAAAGTTTTTTGCTCTTATCTTCCTTTTTTCTCCCTTTCTTTCTTTTCTTTCTTTGTAAATGGAATGGGAAAATGAGTTTCTAATTATAGTTTCAGTCCACAGATCTTTTCATTGATTACTTCTTTATTTTCTTAGTTGCAGAGTATATGAATGTAGCATTCATAATGATGATTTAATGATTAATATGAACACTGGCTGAAAAATTGAGGTAAGTTTCTTATGAGAATGATATATGTAAAATCTAATTTATGATATAATATATGTCCGAGACCTAACTTTGTTTTACTTTATTATAGGTTCCTCAAATGGTTAGGATGCATTCAAAAGAAGCGGAGTTATTCACAAGGTTGTCAAAATCGGACCGGTCATCGAACCGGTCAAGCTACTTGTTCAATGGTTCACTGGTCCGACCAGTGGTTGAACCGGTTGGACCGTTATTTAATTTTTCGATATTTTTAAATATATATAATATTTCATAGATGTAGTTAACTTAATTTTTAAGTTATTTAATTTATTGATACTTTTAAATATATAATACTTTAAAAATATTAAATATAGTTGACTTATTTTTTAAAAAGTTGGTCCCACCGTATATAGATTAAGCAATAAAATGGTACTACAAAAATATGAAAAAAGAAAAGAAATATTTCCTCACTCCCACATTGGGCAATAAAATAATACTCCCTCCTATTTTTTCTAAATATCATTTTGACTTTATCAACAATTAACTAAATAAATGACGTTTTGAATCTTTTGTACATATTTTTCCATTATTGCGCTCATCTAGCTAATAAATACACTACGTCTTTTCATATTCACTCTTCATCTTTTCTCAAAAAATCCATCTCTATCCTCATTAATGAGGGTTATTATTAGCAAAAAAAAATATTCTTAATTACTGTGCAACTTCTCAAAACGATACTTATTAAAAATAGGAGGGAGTAGGAAACAAAGATGGGATATGGGAAAAGAAATTCCTTCCACGCGCAGGTAAAAGGGAAAAGAAATTTCTTCCTCGCGTGACTTTAGTCCTATACCTTTACAATTGAAAATTTGGAATTCTTACATCTTGTCCCACATCTGTAACCATAAAAGGTTAGTTGCTTTATAAAAGTGTTAGAATTTATATAAAATTATTTGGCCGGATTGGAAAAAAAAAAAAAAAAAACCGATTGAACCAACCGGTTTTTGGCCAGTTTTGGCCGGTTCGACCGGTCATTGACCGGTTTTTGACCAGTTTTGCTGACAGCAGGTTTCTTCCATAGAACCAGACTGGTGAACTGCCCAGTTCCCGGTTCAACCGGTCGTACCGACCGGTCCGGTCCGGTTTTGATAACCTTGTTTATAACAGTCAAGAGGTATAAAGGAACAAACCACTCGAGCAGTCTCTAACATAAAATTTTTCCCTTCACAAAAGGATTGATTCGACAAAAAGTTTCGAAGCAAAGAAGACAAGAATACTTCACCAAGGAGACTAAGGCTATGTTTGGTAGACCAATAAGCTAGCTTATAGTTTATTCGATTAGCTTATAAGCTCTCTTTATTCAAATAAGCTCTGTTTGGTAGGACGAACTTATTTAAAAAGCTCGAGCTTATTTGATAAGCTTCTTTGGGTAGATTTTCAAATAAGCCCGTTAAAATTTTTATTTCAGCTAGCTTATCAGCTAATTTTACTAAACACTTTTATCATATAAGCTAGCTTTTCACCTATAAGTCATAAGCTATAAGCTATAAGCTCGAAAATTACTGATAAGCTATAAGCTAGCTTATTAGCTATCAACTAGTTTTACCAAACATAGTCTAACTTACTACACAAAGGGAGACCAACGAAACAACAACAAAGGCCTAAAAATGGCCAAAACAACTACAAACAATACCAACAATGGCCTATACGCCCCACGGGTATAGCCTGCAGGCAGCACGACCGCCCATGTTTGCACACAATACCAACAAAGGCCTATATGCCCCAGGGGTATAGCCGGCAGGTAGCACGACCGCCCATGTTTGAATTGAATGTTTTATGTTAGGGGATCGAATTCTAGAGTGAGGGAACCCTCGACAGTTTTTGTATCATTTGAAGGAAAGGGGTCAGACTAGTAATCGCCTATTGAGCGTTAAACCTTTTAGGGCGCTAGAGTATAAAGGAGGACGGTACGGCTTGCAATAGGGCACATTCTGCAGATTTACTCTCAAAGTAGCCGAGGGGCCAGCTACAAGGGTCTAGGACTGACAGGCGTAAGCAAGGAACCTAGGCATAAAAAAAAAGGATACCAATTAGAAAATAAAGCTCTAGCTCGAATCAAGCTACTCCATCACCGCCGCCACACGAGCCTGTTGCAAACTGCGTGTCGATTTACAATGGAAAATATTTGGAACCTTAGGGTCTCTGTTGTAGTATATAAATACATCACTTCCCTTGATGTTCCACATGCAATTCACATAAGAACTTATACGCGATTTTAAGATTTGGAATTGGATATCTTTGAGCTCGTTGCCCACCAAGATGAACGAAGAAGATAATACATCATAACTCCCCGAGGTCAACCGAGGCCATGCACCACTACATGCAGCCCGCGATTCCACCGAAGCCACCGACAAACTACCGCGAGCCGCAGCTGAGCGAAGCCAGCTGCACGACGCACTGTAGCCGCGAACAGCAGCCCAACGACGCACGCGATGCACGCCACGACCAGCAATTGAGCAACACTCGATAACGCACACAGTCGCGCACATCCCGTCGATGCACCCGACGGACGTTATCGACAATCCCGACGAGACACGATGAAAACATTCGCCAAGGCGAGGCGGGTGGACAAAGTGATAAGATCATCTCAGAACTGTTCGTCTGGCCCCGTAAGACGTGTAGTTTGATCAGAGTATGCAAAAGTCGTAGACCGTAAGTGTTCCCTTGCTATAGTTCTGTTGCGCTTAGGTTTATTCTTGTAGACCAATCCGTGACCTACATAAATTTGACGTTCCTTATAGAACTCCCACAGTACCAAAGACCAAGACCAAGACCAAGACCCAGAACCAAGCCCTAACCCGTGTCCGAGCCTAGCCGAGCTGGCGGCGAGTAAACGCGCGTGTGGTTAAAGTTATCACAAACACTTGGTGCATAACTGTTGTTGTTAAATCCTAACTAGCTTTTGGGGTTAAGCCTCAATCCGAAGCCTAGAGAATTTTATAATCTTATAGATCGTAGGGGTGAGTGGAATTTTAGGAAATTGGCAAGTCCAAATGGACATGAATTCTTTAATTATGGAAGTTGTAAAATATACGAAAAATTGGTAAGTTGAAATGGAGGCGAATTTATTAATTTCTTAGGTGCAAATAACATGAGCCCAAGATCAAAGTTAATCAAGATTGCCCCCGGGGCACAACCTGCTGCTGGATAGGGTGCCCTACGCTGGGTTTGCAAGCTCCGTGTAGGGGTTTCAATCTAAGTAGAGAAACCCTCGACAATTTCACTTTGACAAGAGATTGGTAATTCTTCCTGTGGTAGTAGGACTCTATGGGGCCCAAGGTATAAAGAGGGGCGGTTGGACCATTGGCAGGACACATCATGTGATTTAACCCCCACTCCCTCTTAAGAGTCGAATGTGTGAGTCCAAGACTAATCAAAGGCGCAACCGCGTAAGCCTAGAACTAGGTATAAAACAAAAAGGGGTAATGAAGACTGCCAAATTGAGGCCCAACAATATGTCGTTGGAATTTGGTAGATAAAATTGATGAATTACACACAGATATTTAAAAAGTTTTGTTTAAAATGTTTTCTCAATGATCTTTTAAGAAATTTACATATAAACGGGCCTAAAGGTGTTAGTCCTAACGTTGAGGGAACTCCAGCTCGAGTGGGCCATTAAACAAAACCCTTTACTTTAGAAAACAAGCCACAGCAAAACTCTCATTTCCAAAACCCTAGCTCTGAAAATCAAAATTCTCATCTCCAAAACAGCCATGAGACCTCTCGACGAGAACGAAACCACCCTCGTCTTCAACAAGCTCCACAAATTCGTCGGAAACAATCTCAAGAACATCGCATTGGATTCACAATCCCACGAAGGGCCCGACCCGAATCCGGGCCGGTACTGCTTCCGTCTCCAGAAGAACCGGGTCTACTATGTATCCGAATCCCTGGTCAAGCGCGCCACCAACGTCAAGCGCGAGAAGCTGATTTCTCTCGGAACCCAAATCGGCAAGTTCACGAAAGCTGGAAAGTTTCACCTCACGGTCCAGAGCCTCAACCTCCTGGCCGCGAACGCGAAGCACAAGGTGTGGCTGAAGCCGACGTCTGAGATGAGCTTCTTGTACGGGAACAGCGTGTTGAAAGGCGGCGTGGGTAGGATCACTGAGAGCATTCAGGTGAACGACGGGGTGGTTGTCTTTTCAATGGCGGATGTGCCACTTGGGTTCGGGGACGCCGCCAAGAGCACGGTCGATTGCCGGAAGATGGATCCTAACGGAATTGTGGTGCATCGACATGCAGATATCGGGGAGTATTTAAGGATGGAGGATGAGCTGTAAGAGTTTTTTTTTTTTTTCTTTTTAATTGGGGAAAATGAGATACTTGGTGTGATATTTGGTGATTGTCAATTGAATTTTGTGACCTTCAATTGGTTGATGAAATTCTTCTGGTGTTGTGTTTCAATATTAAGATAATTTGTTGTCTCTGCTGTTGTGAATGTTTGGTATAATTTAAAATCTCAGTTTTTATGTTGTGTTATTTTTATTTGGTCTAATCTCTCTAATGCATTACAAGTGTATTAAGTCCATGGTGGATATAATATAATGCCTGGCTTTCGAAGTTTGATTTGCAAAAATCGTGATGGCTGACAGTATTGCAAACTTTTCGTGTTTTTCATTTTTATTGTGGTGTCACTCTAACACTTTAGTTTAGATCCGCAGTGCCTGTGTCATCTAGAAATGCAGTGATTTGTTTATTATATTTAATGCTTTGGGATGTTAAGACTTAAGAGTATATTCTTGTTGGTTATATGTGTGAATTGCTATGAAGTAAAACTTTGGTGACTAAGAATTAGTTCTGGTATTAGAATGTTTCAGTTCTAGTGACTGGGTTGTGCTTATAAATTCTGTATCCTGAATGATTTTGGCTGCATAATTTTAATGTCTTGTTCTTGAAATGGCTAAGGGGATTCAGCTAATTGAGGTGTAAGGTAAGAACCATCCATCCGGCCAGTTGATTTCTTATGTGGCTCTGTTTCAAATAGTTGGATTAGATTCACCCCTAATCAGGGTGAGCATGTAAAACAGAGCTGAATAAATTGCTCTGGTTTGTTTTGTGGCTCGGTGTTGATATGGTTTGCTATTGCGGAAACCGCAAAGGAACTGGCTCAGTTTGCTCTAGGTTTAAAATTGTTCATTATTCACCTGAAAAACCAAAATAATGTATGCTTATTTATTTATTTTTTTATTTCTTCTCAGCAATCCACACTTTTAATCTCAACTAAAGTTTCTCACTCTCAAATTTCACCTTCATTTCGTGTAGCATTTGTATTCAAAATATGTAGACTTTTGCTCGGGCAATAGACCTGCATATTTGGGACCGTTTATGACGCCTTTTTCTTAAAAATATGTAAACTTATCCTCGGTAAATTTTTCCCTTTGGTTTTATAGTAATTTTAGGGAGTAAACTTTGTAACTGAGGCCCATCGGGAACACTCGAGACCGCGCACTGGTCGACCAGGCAACCAGCGCGGGACCAGTAGGCATACGTGGGAGACTCGCAGTAGTGACTGCGAGACGACCCGTGGTGACCGCGCGCAGAAGGGACATGTCCCGCGCAGACAGACGGGTGACGCGAAGGAGACTGCGCGAGTAGTGGAGATGATGCCGACAGTCGTGACCTGGGCGAGATTGTTCGCAGGCGCGAACGATTGTCTGAGCGCGAGCACGGGTGCAACCCGCAGATGTCGTGCGAGCGTACTGGGACGCGCTGGCGTGGGATTGCCAAGAAGACCGCTGGTCTGGGCTCGGGAAGCATTACTTGAGGGCCCAGTTGATGATTTCTTCTAAAAATTTCAAGATTATTTTCTCTCATGCTTTATTATTACTAGTCGTGACCCGTGCGATGCACGGGATGGCATATTTAAGTGAAATGTTTAACATCTTAGATATTAAAAATTAGAAAGAGTTTTGATAGGTGAACAATAATACACAGCTCGCCAACAATCTAAAAAATCATAAATTATTGAAACTAACTTGTATGTAATATTTTTTGTTTGATTTGTTGGTGAATCATCGTCATCACAAACTAAGAATGGTGCATTCGTTTGAAATTTTGAGTGACATTTTGAGATTTTTTAAGATTTTCAAATTTTGTAGGAATATTGTGAAATCTTATGTTTGTTAGTGGGATTTGGAGTAAGATTTCGTTTATGTTTTTCCTTTAGAAATCTCAATAAATCTTAAAAAGTCTTAACAAATCCTAGTCTCAAATAAGTTAAATATCTCATGATCTTGTAAGACTTTTTAAAATCACAAATGAATAACTTAAGTCCTTTAAAAGTCTTAAAAAGTCCAAATTAAATATACCAGGATTTCTAATTTTTTAAAAAGTCAATCTAGAAATGCTTTATTATTATTATTAGATTGTTTAGGAGTTCATTAATTTGGATATTTTTAGGATTCTAGTTATTTACTTTTCTTTGAATTAGAAGTTAATTTTCCTTAGGACTAGACTTAGCTATTTTCTTTAAATACAATTGTTTGGGACCAAATTATTCAGCTTTCGATCAACAAAAATTCTGAACTTTTATTAACTCTCTTGTGTTAGAATTCTACTTGAGTTTCAGTGCAAAATTTTGTATCGAAAAACGCATTCCATCGCATAGTTCGTCATAAGATCGAGTTTGACAAGGATATCACGTCTGAGTCGTCTCAAAATCGTGAGAAGATAAGGAGAAATCCAAGTCGTGCACAACCTATCGCCGAGAACGAAGGCATCCAAGTGACTTTCGAAGCAGATCAAGCTATCGAGATACACGGTTTTCATTTCGTGCGTGCTTTCGACCTGAGTTTCTCGCGCATGGCCAATCGTCTCGCGTCTGCCGGGCGTCGTCGCACTCATGTTCGTACACGCAACTGCAGTAGCACCATGCCTTGGTGTGCCCTGGGCGCTTTGCCTTGCTCATCTAGGCTCTGCCGTGCTCATGCCCAGCGCCCTATACCCTGTGTCGCTTGCTCTCCCATGGCACATCTGTCCGGCCCGCCAGGCCTTTCGCGTTTATCGTGATCCTTTAGCTGCAGCGGGTCGTGCGCTTGGGCTCTGTCGACAGCATGCTGCTGAGCGCCCGCGCACAGTGGCATAGTCGTATCGCAATTCTGTGGTGGCCGAGTTCGATCGGGTAGTCGAGGTTCATGGTCACCATTGATCCGCACACGATCACGATCAAATATACAAATTCACAATTTACATATTTCGATCCTAGATGCACGGATGGATTTCATGTTCGTCTAGAAAAGCGATAAATCTATCCATTATCCCACCGGGCGAATAAATTTATTACAAACATTTAACCAACATCCTAGACATGTTCGAAACTTTAGAAACAAGCAACAAACAATTCAAGCACATACGACCATAACAGTGGTTAAATTACTCCTGCAAAACCATGTTATGCATATATAATCCAATTTGTAGATGCACATGAACACACGTTGTTACATAAGCCATAAAATTCGAACTTTGCACAAAACGAATTAACAGTAGTCTCTGATACCACTTGCAGGGACCGGTGAAGATTGCCATAAAATTCGAACTTTGCACAAAATGAATTGACAGTGGTCTCTGATACCATTTGTAGGGACCGGTGAAGATTGTCGATATTGTGCAAGTAACGAATCAAATTCTACAATTTAAACATATGCGTAGCGGATTCTAAGGTTTAACGTGGAATACTTACGGCTTAAAATTTGCAGACTTAGAGACGTTGTAGATTTCCGTTGATGGAGATCTCTCGATTCCACTTCGTCGAAAAACTAGCCTCGTCAAATGCTTGGAGTCGCCGGGAGATCGTGCGTGCGGTAGTCGTGGGTTGCAGCTAGCGTCCGGGCACAATTCCAGACTGCGGGCGTGTGGTGGTCGCTAGTCTGCAGCGTGCTCGAGTCGCGGCTGTCTCAGGGTCGCAGGTGTGCTGGGGGCTGCCGCACGGCGTCTCGAGTGCTGCGGCGGCGGGCGCAGGAAGTTCGGCTGAGGTTCGTCTCATGCGGTGGTGGTCATCGGGTCCTCGTCAGCCTTAGAGCCTTCTAATGTATTAACCGACACCTCTCGGTTGTCTTCGTAGCCGATAAGCTCGGAGATGACTTAATTGGAAACTAAGGCCAGCCCACACGTTTTATGCGTGTGGTTGTATATCTCCCAATCCCAAGAGTGTGGCGTATATATAGGCTACAGAAGGGACCCTAAGGAGATGATAATGTGGGTTTCTTAAGTTTTGGGTCTAACTGTGGGCTAAACCCATTCTGCTTAATGACTTAGATAATATTTCAGTCCACTAAAGAAATATTATCACACTCCTCATTATTCCCGATCTACTTTCAAGACCCCAATAATAATTATCCAAATTACTTCCTCATGTTTAAGATATAATGTCTATCAATTAAATTAATTACTGACAATCAAATTAATTGACATCATAAACCAAAACTAGTACCACTCAAATCATTATTATTATGTCGGAACTTAATCCACCCGTCACCAATTGACTTTGGGATGGAACCTTACTAAGGTGCACCTAGGTCACCCTCTTATGGTGCGCTTCACTTGGTGGGACCGCACCCTCTTCCCCCATGGGTGGCCTCTGTGATGGTTGCTCCTGTATGCACCAGAAGCTCACCTGAACATCCCTCTTCGCCTGCTCCAAGTCCACCTCTGTGATGGCTAACAATAGGTTATTCAAATTTCACCGAAATATCTATCAATTTTGCAATTGTTTTTTAGATTTTTTCCTAAAACATTAGGGGTATTAGTACGACTTTTCTCCAAAAATGTTATTATAATATAAAGGATTTCTTAAAAATGAGCAGGTTCTTCAAATTTCACCTAAAAACCTAGTAATTTTAGTAATTTTTAAACTGTTTTTGAGATTTTTTCTCCAAAAATGTTAGTATTATAGGATTACTTAAAAATTTGCATTTGTGGAATCAAACCCCGGTCAGTACCGTGGGAGGGTACTATGATACCACTACACCAGAATCCCAGATGCACCTGCTGACCTTGTAACAACAAATTTTATGAAAAACATAAAACTTTTGTACAACTTGATTTTATTTCGATCAAACGATATTACTGGTGCAATCTCTATTTTCTCCTCTATTTCTTCTCACGAATGATTTTAAGTCTTTGAGCGAAATCTTCAGCTTGATCTTCTCCTTGATTTGATTTGACTTGAATTAACGTTAATTCGAGGGTTAACGCCTTGATTTCGGATCAAACACCGTTATAATCCAGGAACGTGAAAAACACGAATCCTTGATCTTCGCCGCAAAGTAGACCTTGAATCTTCTCCACGTCGGTTTTGAGTTTTCTAACATTAATCGAAGGCTTTGCAGCTTGTTTCTGGAATGAACGCCAATCTTGAGGTTGAACGCGCTTGAATCTTGCTTCGAATCTTCAAGAACGCATTTGAATCTTCAATACACTTGAATCTCGTCAAGAGAATTCTCTTGAGCTCTTGAACTTGAATATGAATTATGATGTGTGTTTTTTACTTTAGGGAGAGCCCCTATTTATATATGTAGGAGAGAGAACCCTACAAAACTTAAGAATCGTAGGACGCGATTTGATTAGATCTCCCAAGATCTTCTAGAAGATATGTGATTTATTTACCAAGAAATAAGATTTGACACTTGACAATATTTGATTGGTAAAAAATTAAAATATTAAAATATCAATTAATGAACTATTTAAATTTAGAAATTAAATTATGAAAATTCCTAAAATATAAATAGAAAATATAACTTAATTTTTAATAAATTAATTTTCATGTAGCGCCATTTGATTGACCACAAATTTTATGTAGCTACATACCTTAGTTTCCTCTTTTGTTTTCACTTAGTTTAATATGAACGGAGTAACTGTATAAGTACTTCATTCTAGTCCATAACTTTAATCCTCATTCCATGGAGTAATAAAGAAAAATGAAGTAATAGGAGTAATAATTAAATGTAATGTTAAAATAATAATTAATGGTTTGAAGTATGCGAATGTAATAAATTTATAAGAAAATGTTTATACACGAGTGACTTATTTTTAAAAAAATTTATTAAGAAAAGTGAGGAGTGAAAAATCCAGATAAGTGAATAATGTAATAGATAAAAAAAAAATATGTTTGTGATAATATCCAGTCGCACCTAAATCCTTAAAAAAAATTGTGAAAATGTGGACCGACGTACTAACTAGTGTGGCACAATTATAATAATCGAGCACGGTGTTTTCTT